GAAAACATTACAAATTTTGCATAGGATTAGGAAATAAATTAATCACAAAATAAATATATAAAATAAAATAATAAAGGAAATTAACTACTAACTTTTTTTGATGTTACCTCATTCTGCTTGGCTGAAGCTTCAAGAAATACAGCTTTCCAAGAATCTGCTAACTTACGTCCTTCCTCTTGTGTAACAACRCGGTCCATATGTAAATCTTTTTTATTCCCTACCAATACTACGGGAACACTATCAAAAAAAGCATAAATAAAAATCTAATAGTATTAATATTACTCATTAGTGATCACCGGGTCTTAGAACTTCGTAAACTTGCTTATTTTGTTGGAAGTGACCAATTCAAATCTGATTTAATAGCAATTTGTTTTATTTACACACAAACAAAGTACCAATATTTTTATGCTTAATATATTATTGAATTTAAACGATTTTGCATATTTAATGATTATAAGCTTATTAATGCATATAATGTTTATAGTTTAATATAAATAACTAATAACCAAATGTTCAATACAACACAAATTACAGAATATTAATTGTAACTTTATTATGATCGGCAGTCTTATTTAATATTTTTTCAATAAAAAAACATTAATTTTTACCTATAGCTTATGGTTTTTATACTTTCRAARAAAGTATAGATACTTTATAATTTGGTACTGTTGATAACATTTTAGTTATTGTAAAAATATTTTTAAAAAAGCACAATCACATACACAAATCATCAAAAAAATAACACACTAGATAGACTTTTTATCTCTAGAATCAATCATAACCTGTTGGAATACCGAGATAGTTGTACTTTGGTTTTGTAAATACTATAAATGAATTTGTGATATATAAATATGTTAGATTCCAGTGATGCTTTAATTATTAAATTTCAAAAGAGACTTTTTTTCCAAATGTATTCTTTTATAAATATATTTTATAAAAACAAAAAATGTATAATATCATACTGTAGGTTTGGGAATTTTTTTATTGTATACATTTGCACATATTTCATTGTTTTTAAGTGCAAAAAATTTAGAGCCCTGGTGATCACTAACCATAAAACTACTTACTGTACTTTGCCAGTCATGTCTAATAATTTATCATAAATTATTTGAATGATTTCAAAAGATTTTGGGGACGTAATACTATAGACCAAAACATATCCATGAATGTCCATAGAATATTGTGTCGGCAATATGGAGTACTCGTCTTGTCCAGCAGTATCGACTAATTTTAAGTCATATTCTTGATTGTTAACTTTGGTCGTTTTCACAAATGCTGTGGATATTAAAGAATTTTCAATATATGTATTTTACTAATTGAAAATGTTCTGTATAWTACAAACAGACTTACTGTTTTCAATTGTCGGATCGTAAGAATCTACAAATTGACCTTCAACAAACTGAATGCTCAACGACGACTTGCCTGAAAAGTCAAATAAACTTGATTTTTATTAACAATAACTGAGTAAATTTTTGTCTGGAATCGTTCGCTATATTAACCAACAGTTTGGACGAAAAATAATTATTTCTGATGTAGATATTTGTTTAATTATTTCACTTACCGACTGAACGGTAGCCCATAATGGCGATTTTTCTTTGTTTCGGCGGCATTTTTATTTTTTCAGACTGTGATCACTTCATTCATTCGTGAACCAWCAGTTATTACTTATTAGTTATTACCCATGTTATATCATATCGGGTTATGTAACTTGGTGAATATTATGCGATTAATGATTATGCCTGATGATATGGTAAGTATTTACGCATACTACACGGCTTTGTAGTATTAGTAACAACATGTTAACCGAGTCACAGAGACAAAAATTCGTTCACAAAACACATTGCAGACGTTTCATGGAAAAAAAACTGATTCGTGGTTATTTTTCTTTTCAGAAAACAAACCTGCGGTTCTTTGAATTCCTTACAAGTTACAAGTTACAAGTTACAATACTACCACAGATATCTATATTAATATAGATATCTGTGAATACTACTGAGTATAAGGTCTATGTCTATGGTTACAATACATTTTACCACTTTGATACGTTGATATTATTATTATTATTTAGTATTAGTATTTACTATTTACCTTATAAATTCAGTATACCCGAGTCCCGAATATACGCCACCGCCCACCACTCGGCACTCACCAGTCACCATATATTATCTTTAAGAGGACGTGATACCCGCATGTGTTGTCTCCGTCTTACAAATGCGTAACATGGTACATTTTTCGCTCAGGAGAACACGTGTAGCTCCGTTAACTTAAAAATTAGAGTGAACTGACCTCTTATAAAATTTAAAGGTAAGATTATTATCTAGACAACCTCATATGCTTTTTATTTTATATCAAATTTAAAGCGAGTTATGAGTATTTTAAAATTGTAAATTTTTTGTGCATCTTAAAATACTCATAACTTCCTTTAAAATTTAAATATAATAAAAAGCATATGAGGTTGACTAGATAACAATCATACCTTTAAATTTTATGAGAGGTCAATTCACTCTAATTTTTAAGCAAACGGAGCTACATGTGTTCTGCTGAACGTAAAATTTACCATATAATGCACTTGTAAGACAGAGACAACACATGCGGGTATCACGTCCTCTTGATCGTTTTATACAATGTTCGAATGGTTCGATCACAGGACAGGTGTCCATATTATACAATATATAAAATAACCATGTAAAATAACCTTGATCTGTTATCTGCAAATGCATTGAAAAGATTCCCAAACGACCAGAAGTCCTACCCTCAACACTGTGTCGCTGAATATCTAATAGCAAAAATTTCGAATACATATTTATGTACCTACTATATTTTAAATTTTAATGTGTGTAAAACAGCAACATACTATTAAGAAAAAAAAAATTGTCATAACTACTTTAAAATGATTTTTCTGAAACTCGTAATTAGACTTGAGGACAACACTGGTCTATGTCATGTGAAAACAGTACAGCCTCCATGTGGTGATGCACAAAACAAAATAAGGACAACACTTTAATGAATTCATTATTAAAGGAAAAATGTGGGTTAGCATGCTCAATGGTTCACTCTGTATTCATGCACGTATACAAGGGATGGGTGGTTTTGGAGTTCAAACTTCTCCTAATGTCCTAATATATTTTTTTGCGTACGCGCCTGCCCGTGTATCATAATTTTTATATTTTTGTACAAACATAATWTTATAATATATTTTATCGAATGCCGCACATATACATGGAAAGAAAATATGTTTAACTATCATAAATTATAAATTCATAACATTCATAACTATCAAAATTACAATCCAGAATAGAATAAGTCCGGTTGGATTACATGCCAATAACTGGAAATTTATATATATATATATAGACGCCAAAGGCCTCAAAAAGGCTACAAAACGTTAAAACTTCAATACATAAAACGGGCCACCCGAGCAGTGGCGTATTATTTTACGTAAATATTCCATCCTATTTCCTTTTCCCCTAATAAATGTATTATTTACATACGAAAAATGTGAAAAACTTATTTTAATTTATACTTAACCATATCTCCCTTTCACAATCATAGTAAAAACAATAAGTAAATTTGTTATTATTACAAATTTACAATAAGAAAATACTTGATGACGCGATGGAAAGTGTAGAAAGGACGAGATTTGGACGCTGACCAATAGCGATCTCTCGGTGGCCCGAGTATATATTCTAAGGAATATAGTATTTTTATACAAATAAA